CTCACTTCATGGTTATAATTATACCTGGGATGAATGCAAAAAAGCCGTTACGGAAGCATTTCCAAGTCATGAGTACTTCATGGACAATATTAAAAGAATGGTGACTTGCAAGAAAACGCCTGATGAAACGATGATCATGATGCACTATTTCTATTCAAAATGTATTTTGTTAAAGAAATGCGAAATAAGCAACGTCCATGCTGGGCTTCCTGTATATCCCTACATTCCCTACAAGGGGAAGCAAAGATAGATCGATATATATAATTATAAGCCAACCAGTAATTAATCATGATCAGATAGAGATGAAAATAACCTCGAAAAATGTAACTTTGCAAACAATGCAACCCTCAAATAAGTTATAGGAAATCAGTGAGAATGATGATGTTTCCAAGTATAACGCGACAATCCCTCCTAACTGTACAAGTAAAAGTCCGAAGCAAGTGCTCTAATTTGATAATTCCTTCAAAATTCCGCCATGATTACATGAACTTTCTACTGTGTTAGCTATAGAACTCCGTCTTCATTATGAATATCCACAAATGTAAGTTAGAAGATACTGAATATTGACGAAAATCGTCGAAAATCATATCATAGTAAGAGTGTACCCATTTTCAGAGGCGGACTGAGGGGCCGGGCGGTCGGGCATTCGCCCGATGGGCCGGTGCCCTTTGGGGCCGGTAGAAATGTTGAATGTTGAAAAATATATACAAAGAATGACATAGATACTGCAAAGAAAACTACATCAAACGTTCTATACGGTGCAAAGAAAAGCATTATTTCTAAATGTTAATACTAGAAAAATACGATTCATCCTTTAGGATTTACTGATGATGATATAATATTAAGTAAAAACTCAATAAGGAAGGTTTATAAAGAGGTCAAAATTATTATCCTGTTGATGAAAAAATGAGCCTTGATAGTTTGCAATTGCAACTGATAGATTTACCTCGAAGTGGGAAAGACTGTCGAGTACTTTGAATAGGCTATAAGAAATTCTTTAAACCAAGAACATTTGAAGACCTTCATGATGGTGAGGGGCAAAAGAGACATTCCAAATCAATAGGAAGCGACGATATCATATTCGATCTTGTTGAAAAATGTGGATCTATGAAAGATTCACTCGTTTTTTAATTTCACTCTCTAATGCGACTAATGTTTTATTATTTGTTGTGGAGAAATAATTTCCCTAGTTCTTTTGTAGCTTTGATATCATTCAACAAAGTGGTTCATGCATGTTCCTCTACCATAGAAATATCGTTTATTTCATTTATTCTCATATTTTTTATTTGTAATATGTTATTTACCTCATTTATCTCATTTTTCTTTAGTATATTTGATGTTTTATAGACCGTTTTTTGTTTGAGTTTTATTCTGATAAAGACTATTTTTTGCGTTTTTGTCTGTGTTACTGAAATATGTGATGAAATTTTATGAATAGCTATAAAAGCTTCGAAATTTTCTACGAAGGTGTGGCCGGTAGGGTTCAATTCGCCCGGGCCGATTGAAAGGTCCAGTCCGCCCCTGCCCATTTTCAAGATCCTGAAAATATACCTGGAAGAAGTACTCCAGTTTTGCCGTGATTACACTTGATTTAGGCGTAAAAAATTGAATTCCAAAGAACCCATTTTATATAAACCCTATATAGGGCTTCAGAAACTGAAAAAAAAGTAATTCCAGAAGAGAATCAAAATCGAGCTACGCGATTCCATCAATCTTGGCCAAAAGAGAAACAGATTAGCAATTGACTTTAGAAAGTTAAATAAAATAACGGTCAAAGACAGGTAGATCCAAAGTCAGTAGGAGCACCTCGAGAAAAACATATATAGGTATAGGTACGCAACGCGGTTTCGCTTTTATTGAAGTTCGTTTGAATTCCGTGCACGTGGCAGACATTCGCAGATTGGGTCTTTTCAACAAACGCTCCAACTGACGTTGGATAGACTATACCCAGTACCCAATATCACGTTTGAAAGGCTACATATATTTTTGTGTACTTGACATGACCCAAGGTATGTATCCATAGACGAGGTATAAACAAATCTCCGTGAGGTAATAACTAAGACCTTCTACAAGTTTAAAAAAAAAATACACCTCCTCGAGGTAAAAACCTAGACCTTTGATAAGGTTGTTACAAAACGCTTAATCTCAGGGGTATTTTGGTGCGGTGAGTTCTCAGGCTTGGACAGATTAGGCAAAAAGAAATGATGGAGAATCGTTTATTCAAACCAGCAATTGGTATTTGGATCACAGCTCGGAGTGCTCGGTGATACAATCTAAAATATAACAAAGAAAATAGCGGCCACCTACCTGAAATATGCAGGCACAGGCCAGAACTATTGGAGAACAGTTTGGTACCATAAGACCACTAGCAAATCGTCGATTAATCACTCGGATATGCAATGACTAAAATATGGGTTCGCACCGCTAATCAAACTGGTAGCTCTCAAATCCGTATTCCTATAAGCCGTTTGGCAAAAACTCGGTTCTCGAGAAAAACCCGCAGAAAAAGCATCTCGACCGCGAAACTCGGATAAGAATAAATTCAGTACTCTCTTTACGCGATGTTGTCAGTAACACTTCGTTTCGTTACAAGGTAAAAAAAATAAAGACCTTGAGGTAATGAATGACCTTTATTGAGGTAAGACTTCTTTAGAGGTAAAATGAAAACGAGACCTTTCACGAGGTAAACATTTGACCTACCATGAAGAATTAAAGAAAAAATACGAGGAACATGGATGATCCTGAACAAAAAAAAAATGTTGAAAGTATGAGCCAAAGTTTGAATACTGTGGATTTTTTTTTTTTAACAGTAGGCATAACCAAGATAGTGATCCTCACCAAACCAGGCGTAGTTCACCAAGAACCTCAGCGGGGACGCTTCGTGAGCAGGATGGCCGAATGTGAAGAACAATAATTATTACTATTTGTATTATAGATACAGGTATATCATCAGGATTATTATTATTTACATTGTTAAATATCATTACTATTATTATTCTGTTGTATGACTCATATTAACGAGGTGACGGAATGTTCAACTTATTTAGTTATACAATGTTATGCGGTGATTCATTTTTGGAGTCACGCCTTGCTGGACGGGTGATAAAAGTCAGTATTCACTGTGTAGGGTAACGAGTCGGTCGATGTGAATCAATTTTTATAGCTCTAAATATCTGATTCGTTAAAAATACCTAGTATAACAAACGGTATAATATGTGGTTATCAAATTGTTGATGGTTTAAAAGTTATTAAATTTTTCTGAAAAACGCGACCCATTTGAAAATAATTAATAACAAAAAGGCTGTTTTGAATAACCCCATATTTTATACCATTTCGGAGTCTTTATTAAATGGGCAACTTTTTTTTACAACTTTGTGGGGTCGTTTTTAAATCTGCCAACGGCATTCAAAAAGCAACTGAAATATTTCATTCAATGACAAAACTCAAGGAAAACAACATTTTTCTTAGGTAATTGATACAAAGTAATATAAGTCTTAAAATTATTTCTGGAGAAAGGTGCACCCATGTGGATTGAATTTGTAAAAGAACTGTTATTTATTATTCAAGAGGTAAAAGTAGTATATTATTATGTTAGCTCAAAAAAAACCGTGAGCTAAAATCTAATATTTTTCCCGTGTATAATAAACTAATTTTTTTCTGTGACAAGAAAAAAGACGATTCAATATTGAGAAGATATAGTACATTATATCAAAATCAGAAAATTATTGACGTGAAATTTGAAGTTTTTAACAGGAATGACACCAGCGTCGCAGGCATCTTCTTGCAGGCATCTTTATCACTCTTTTGAAATAATCAAATATCTGTTAGTCTAATTCTGTGATTTGATTTTAAAAAATTGCGAATTTACTGGTTGTTTAGTAATGTACGTAACCCCGAAGAAGAAGGACTTGCAGTTATTTCTCGGAGACGGTGTTATTGGCTTATTTGTTGAAACTATAGCCAAACAAAAGCCATCTTAGGGTATATATGATAGCCGGGATTGGCGCAGTGGAAGAGCGTCCGTCTCACGACCGCAAGGTCGTGGGTTCGATTCCCAGCACGAGCAAGGAACTTTTTTCAATATTTTATTTACGAATTAAATAATATTGTAAAGTTTCGGAGCATCGGCTGGGGATAGTCCTGCACGATTCGCTGTTGCGTTCCAATTAACAGTGCTGCTCCTAAAGTGGCGCATGGAGTTAGTAACAAAGCCTACACAGAACACGCAGAAAGAGATGATGATGTGGTTGTGAGCATCAGAGAAGAAGTAGGGTGGTGTATGTAGGTGGGTGTGGAAAACTAACAGCTGAGCGTGAGAGCGGGCCAGCTGCTTAGTAGACACCAGTCTCTAACGGGGGTTAACGAGGATAGCTAGCAGGCCTGCCACTGCGCATGCGCATATGGTAGTGAGTACATTACTAGCCTACAAAACACAGCCGAAAAACTCTGAAAGAGAGCTGATGGGCGGTGCCTGAAAAAGGATGTTAGCCAGCTCTCTTGAGCGAACCACATCAGTCATTGAAAACACTTGGGGTTTGCAAAAAGGTCCCTCTAGGGACTAGTTGCTGACGTGCGAACGTCCCCCACCAGTACCAGTAACAGTAGGGTATATATGTGTGATATATATCCGGGGAAGTAGTAATTATTGAAAAATGACATTTTATAACCTGTCAACAGAGATGAATGTGACATAGTTTTATTGTAATAAATTTTTTTCATGGAAATGAAAAAAAAAATTATAACTTTTGAAAAGAATGAAATGACCCCCCTACCCCCCCCCCCCACTTCTTTGGATCCATTTCCATTACTTATGGGACATCCTGTATATTCAAATTAAATTTTTGTACAAGTGAGTGAGTGTATGTCATTGATGTCTGTTCTTATAGAAATTGTGGATAAATAATTATTGTTGTAGGCACATTATGCTACATTTACTTTTTTCATGTTCTCATGAATTTCAAACTGAAATTTGCTCAAATAATTTTGCTTTTATTTTTCAGGGGATTTAGTTTCTGTTTTTATGGATTTCAATAGAATATCTGTGAAAAGAATAGATGAGACCCATTCAATTTCCAATGGTGAATTGATAGTCTTTCTCTGTAGAAATAAACAAAAATTAATAAATGTCCAATTAACTTTCCCTAGTAAGTATGCACAATTTATCAATATTTGCTAAAATGAATCCCACATAATTTTAATTTCAGCAATCAAATTGTTCTATTATGATGGTAATTCCTTGAAGATGTATGATGCTCATTCCAGAGTTCTAATGAAAAGGAATTTTTTGACAGAAAAGATTAAAGACAGTCAAACAATTGGAATTGTTATTGGAACCCTTGGAGTGCAAAACTATTTGGAAGTTATTGAAAGATTGAAAAACCTGATAACTCTCAGTGGGAAGAAATATTACCTCATCAGTGTAGGTAAACCAACAGTGGCCAAGCTTGCAAATTTTCCAGAGGTAAACCAAAACAATTACAATATCATACTAAATACTAATAGTGATAATATACATAAGAAACTGTTTATCACATAGGTATCATTTTCTTTTGACAGAGCCAGCGACCGCTAGACTTACGTCATTTCAATAAGGTTGATATTTTCTATGTGTGATAACTCATTTGTTGGAAACGTGTTGGGGCTTTCCAGAGATACCGGGTGTTGAAAGTACAAAAAAATGACTGGCAATAACGTCATTTCAACAGCTGATCTTTTAATATGTTCAATTAGACCCTATCATGAAATAGAATATGCTAAGGGCTTACATTATTTATCGTCCACCAGATCACGCTACTGAAACGTGAGGTCAGGGTTGGCCTCTTTCTACGATATCTGCTTTTCCATCATATAAGAATGGGCGAGTGGACTGATAATGAATTATAGGCATTCAATTACTCCATTGTATCGTTACCAACCTAAGTTAATGTTTGCAACACTTCTCACGCTTGTTTTATGTAAATAATAAGTCCATGCGTTGTTCGAAATTGTTGAATTTCAGAGCTCATTTCAAACGAACATACATCGCCGCCATTTGGCGATACGTCGAATTAATGGTGACGTCAGTTTTTATGCTGTTTCGTAATTGGTAAGATAATCTTCCATTTCCACTCATGAAGCAAGGTTGTCAAGTCACCAATTATAATCAAGTTATATAAAAGTTGTTAGAGTCCTCTGTAGTTGTATAAAACATAATAGGAGGAACCCATAATGTTATAGTTCCTTCTTGACTTTTCGAACAACCAGCATGTCTAAATATTTCTTATTCTCCATAACAACATATCATATGAATGTTGGAGACTTGGCAACATTGTGATGAATGCTGCGAACTGACAAGACCACGCCCACAAGTCGTGCGCCGTGGTTGTTACGTTCACCGATTCAAATGTCCTCTATAGTGTGAATTAATATAATTATTATTTACACGCAAATTTATTATAAGCAATAAGCCACAAATCATAAGGGAACATTTTGAGACAATTGAATTTTTATTGCTAATTAGTATTACCAATACTCAATTGACAATATTTCTGAAATTCCGAATCGTAATTCAACACAATGGCAACTGTGCTATATGGTCTGCCCCTACTTACGAAATCGTGGCGTCAGTGTAAACTGGGGGAAAATTTCTATCCGGTTGAAAATTATCGTGGCATTATTGATGATTTTAGCACCTAAAAATCGACCAGAAAATTAAAAAAAAAATTGAATTGAAAGGTATTTGAGTGATGATTCTATTTAAGAAATAAACAAAAAATAGTCCACTTGTCTATTGGTTGTAAAGTTCTACATTGAGAGTAAATAAAACGTAAGTCTGCTCAAGTCTTTCCATAACTTGGGGCAGGGGCGCTTCCAGACGATGTTTGAGGGGGGGGGGGGGAAACCACGGCTCAATAAGGTTAGCGCGGAAGAGAAATTATATGGTTACCTTCTGAGACAAATGCCTTTTTCATTAAAAAAATTGATACTAGTAAACATGAAATCTTTAGTTTCCTTTCAAGTATCGAAATTACTGGTGTAAAAAAAACAAGTTCAAACTATTCGATTTAATCCATCAATATATGTAGAATTCTGCAATAAATCATATTGGATGAAAAAAGTAAATAAAAAAATATTTCTCTTGGAATACTTGGATACAAAAGTAGATAAAAATATTCCTCTTCAAAAAAAAATTAAACAGACAAATATACAAATATACAGGGTGAGTCATGACTAACTAGCCATAGCCTAATGGCGGATAGCGGAGGTCAAGGTGAGTTGATATATATGTAAAAAAATATTTTTTGCATATTCTTTACAGAAATACAGGGCATTATTTGAATTCGGGGCAAAACTTCAATGAACGATATTTCAGGAACGTCTCGATGTTATCGGCTGAAATTCACTAGCAACTTACCTCTACTGACACTCCACAAGATGACGTACTATAAATAAAAAATTCCAGATTCGGACTTGGAAAACTCATTTTCTCTTTAGATGTCAAAATTTTGACCTTCTGGATCGGATTTTTCGGAAACTTTCATCAGAATCAGAAAGATCAGGAAAAATACTACAAGTATGGCTTCTCAGTTCTTACGGCACACTTCGATCATTTTGGTAAAAAAATATCAAACAAAATACCGATGAATTTTTTTTCGATTTCGTCCGGACATATCACTCTCTAAATTCGACCAAAAGTAATTAAATCCAATTTTTTCCTGGAGTGATTCAACAGCAGACTTGAGAAAAGGTATAATTCAATAAAAAATCCAGGACCGGACTTGATTTTGGATAATAACAATTATAATTTCCGAAAAAGATTTGTCTGGATCTTAATATTAATCAAGATTCTCGAAATGTCCTCCAATTTCTATACATTTTCTGCATCTTTTCAGGAGATCTCTTATGGCTTTTCTAATAATTTGCCTATTATTTCTGATTATATCTGCAGCTGTAACTATCCTCTCCCTCAGTTCGTCTCTGGTGTTGACTTCAGTCTGATAGACCAATTGTTTCATATGCCCCCAAAGAAAATAGTCCAAAACTGTGAGATCAGGGGACCTAGGAGGCCAAGAATGAGGGCCTCCACGATCTATCCAGCGGTTAGGATAATGGGTGTCCAGGTATTCTCTCACTTGTATTGAGAAATGTGGAGGTGCCCCATCCTGTTGAAAGTAAAGACCTCTTTCATTCACATTTTGCGCCGCCAACAAGTTGGGCAGAACGTTCTGAAGAAAATTCAGATATAAGTCCCCTGTCAGTCGTGCCTCGAAAAAATGAGGACCTATCAAAACGTCATCCACCACACCAGAAAATGTTTAGAAATTGGAGGAGGACATTTTGAGAATCTTGATTAATATTAAGATTCTGACAAATCTTTTTCGGAAATTATGATTGTTATTTTCCAAAATCAAGTCCGGTCCTGAATATTTTATTGAATTATACCTTTTCTCAAGTCTGCTGTTGAATCTTTCCAGGGAAAAATTTCATTCAATTACTTTTAGTCGAATGTAGAGAGTGATATGCCCGGACGAAATCGAAGAAAAATTCATCGGTATTTTGTTTGATATTTTTTAACCAAAACGATCGAAGTGTGCCGTACGAATTGGAAAGCCATACTTGTAGTATTTTTCCTGATCTTTCTGATTCTGATAACAGTTTTCGAAAAATCCGATCCAGAAGGTCAAAAATTTGACATCTAAAGAGAAAATGAGTTTTCCAAGTCCGAATCTGGAATTTTTTATCCATAGTTCGTCATCTTGTGGAGTGTCATTAGAGGTAGGTTGCTAGTGAATTTCAGCCGATAACATCGAGACGTTCTTGAAATATCGTTCATTGGAGTTTTGCCCCGAATTCAAATAATGCCCTGTATTTCTGTAAAGAATAGGCAAAAAATATTTTATTATATATATATATCAACTCACCTTGACCTCCTCTATCCGCAATTGAACTATGGCTGGTTAGTCATGACTCACCCTGTATATAAAATAAAGAATCGTATTTTGAAAACTAAATAACAAATTCCAGTCTTCCACTCTTCTGACTAGCGTATCTTTGGATGATATCATCAAGATTCAGACATTTAACCTGTCTTGAACCATTCTGGATCTTATCCAATCTTTCAGCCTTCTGAGTGCTGAAAAACTCCTTTCAGAAGATGCAACACTTACAGGCAGGCAGAAGAATGTTTATGTTAGGAAACAAATGTTTACATTCCTTCAGAGCAGTTATACCATTGTCTAGTATATTTTGCTTAGTATCTCACATTTTCTTCCACATATACATTTCAGAAACGATCTTCTGAAAGGAGGACATTTCGTCATGCTCCTCAAAAATGATCGGAAACTGTTCAAGAATATTTCTACATATTATATTTCCCATCTGTTTTGTTTTTTGTTATTGATGGTACACATAGGTGAAGGATCTATAATGGTCATCCACTAAGGAAACCGTAGGATTATCCCTGTTAGCCAAGGGCAACACCATTATTATTATATATTTAGTGTGGGTCGCGGGTGGATAGCTATAAAGACATACACTAATTTTTTCAGTTATTCAAAAACACTACATTTTTACATATCCATGAGGTTCCCGAGGGGGGGGGGCATGGCCCCATAGCCCCCTCCCTGGATCCGCCCCTGACTTGGGGTTTTCTATTTGTTCAAATATTCTACATCATTGTTTCCTAAAATTTTCGATAAAACAGGCCATAGCCATAAGGGCTATCCAGCAAAATTTCGGGATTTTTGACTTCGACATTGTCCTCACGTTTTAGTAACGCCCACTGGTGAGAGTGGAAATTTTAACCCTCATTATTTTTATAATTTCATCATTATACAGGGTGTTCCAAAGCAAGGGCATAAATTCGAACAAATGAAAAAGTTATTAATTGTGCATTTCTCAAAGTATATTATTCCTGATAGAAGTTCTTGCATTCTTTCATAATAAGTCCATTAAGAGCTATTGGTAATTTATGTCACACACTAGAGAAGTCAGTCAGAAGCTATCAGGTTGATATTTTCTATGACCAATGAGGGCATTATTAATTGTCCACCACTTCGCGCCACTGAAACGTGAGGTCAGGATTGGTAGAACTGATAAATATACTTCTTATTTCGTGTCATTAGGCTTCTTCCTACAATATTTTCTTCTCCGTCAATGTAAGAAGAGGTCGAAAAAATTTTGGGATTTTTTACTTTGACACTGACCTCACGTTATAGTAGCGCCAACTGGTGAGAGTGGAAATTTCAACCCTCATTATTTTTATAATTTCATCATTATACAGGGTGTTCCAAAGGTTGATACAAAACATACATTGCGAAGTCTGACGGTTTTCAAGTTATTGAATAATTTTAAGATTTTTTGAAATGTCCCATTCTTTCACATTTGCACCTTAATAATAAAAAAATAGAACATGGCCCTTATTTTTTTTTCTAATACTAGACTGTGAATCTATTCTGATGGAAGAATAGCCAAAAACAACGTAGTACAAAAAAAGTCGTATAATGACACTTGTTTGATCAAATATATCAAATCACACCTGTAATTTATGTCTTTGTAACAAATCAATGTCGCCGCCCATGCTCTATTAAATATTATCAAATACGCTTCAGGAGGCTAGGCAACCCATCTTTCATTAATACAGATTCAAAATCCGTGCGCGCACCTAGGTCGGTTATGGTTAGGAGGGGATTTCCGAAATGTCTTGCGCTGGTCATTTGACTCTTGAACGGGCAGTTTTCTCAACCAAGTGAATAATTTAACATCCACGTCGATCGAACCCAAATTTGGTGTTTTTGGTTTTGTATGTGCCCAATGTTCCTTTGGAACATCTTGGCCTGTGCCTGCATTTCATATTTAGGTGGGTAAAACTCTTTTATACTACTTTATGATTGTTTATTCGATCCCTTCAGGTCACATGTTAATTATACCTACTTTTCTTTACTTATTTGTATAATTGCTTCACCTCTTATATTATGTAATGTACTGTACGTCCTAGGGCTCGTTAGCGCATTTCATATTTAGGTTTTCGACGTTTCGCTCAACCACGTGATTTGGTTAACTTAAGAAGTGAATAAATAGTCTCCTGAACCATCAGCGTTTCTATCAGCAAACCCACCAAACCCCTGAGACTGTTACCCAAACCCCTGAGACTGTTACATCTTTATGAATGTTCCATCATCTATGGTGCAACACGACGACTTGTCAATTCTTATACTACACTGAAACGTTGACTAATTTTTGAAAATTATTAGGGATCGCAATTCTCACGGTAAACATAAATAAAATCAAATTTACTAATGAACATATATTCACCATTTTGAATAGTGAACCAGTATTCATTATACAGGTTCGTGCCCTACATTTAACTTCTGTGTTGATGTACGTAATATCATCTCCAGTTTCATCATTTCGAAGGCTTCTAGAAATTTTCGTGCATCGACTTTTGGAACACCATACATGTATAATCAATCATATCCTCTCAAATCAGGCGCCTATGAATTTGAAACTCGTCCGATTGAAGCTACTATTTAATGACAGGCTGAAAAGATCTCAAAGTTATGGGACAAGACGAACCGGGCTAAATGGCCTATATTTATACTTTTTTTTTTCTACAATTTCAGCTCGATGTTTATGTCATGGTAACGTGTTCAATGAATGAAATATACGAAAGCCGTGATTTCTATAAGCCCATAGCCACTCCATTTGACATTGAAATAGCATTCAACACCAACAACACTGAAAATATTCAGTTCTCTTATGAGTTCAACGGTGTTCTGGATCGCAAATTGGAACCTCTGAACGTACAAATCACTAGCAGACAAGAAGATGTTAGTTTGCTTACAAATAAAATCAGGTCGAATGTCGGTGATACGACTTTCGTCTCTTCGGAAGGAGGAACTCAAATAGCCTTGAAGAGTGATGGAACTTTGGCTTTGAATACAAGTCATGGAGCAGGATATCTTGCCGATCGATCTTGGAAAGGTTTAGAACAAAACTTGGGGCAAACTGAAGTTGAGCTAGCCCAGGAAGGTAGATCGGGGATTGCTCAGAAATATAAGGACGAACCAACTTAGTTCAAATATGATAAGTTGTCAATGTATATAGGCTATAAGATCATTGTACAGCATAAAATTATATTAATCATAAAATCTGTATTGGGTTTATTAAAAATTCCAGAAACCCAATCTTCAAATTTGAAAGTTGTACACGTTGATCGGTAATACGCGCCCAACAACAACTCTATTTTTATGGATGTCTCTCAAGAATTGGAAACTGAACCAATTTCCAATTTGGGAACTATAATCAAAATGACAAATATGACTTATATTTCTGGCAAATGGTAGTTTTTCAGGTTGCTGAATCTTTTATAATTCCAAAAAGTATGTGCAATCGCAAAAAACAAAGATTGAATGTAGGTCTAATGGTTCTCCAGATACACCTCGAGATACACCACTACAGATATGGGTTAGTTTTTCCAAAAAAATACATTTCAAGTTTTGAGTCAATTTTTGTGCAAAATATTGGGGAAAATACTGATCCTACGCGAAAAATGGTCGAGAGTGAAGTTGTAGTAAAACTTGTCAGCTTCAATTATCATACAGAACGATGCCAGTAGATCAAATGGTTGACTCATAATGTACAAAAAACGAAAAATCAGCAAATGGAATATTGGTAAGATTCTCTGTAAACCTCTCTCCAAGACTTGAAAACTTTGTGTTTCTTCCGTGAATTTACTATACTAGTGTTATTATGTAGGATCATGGTTTTAATGAGACAATATTACTTATAATTCAGATATGTAGGGAAAATTCTCTTCGGCCACCTTTCCAGCTCCATCTTAGCGTAATTGTTGAATTGATTAACTTAACTAACAATCAACAATTGAATTGAGAATATCAGAAGCTTATTGGTTGAATGATCCGAATGGTCCAATCAGCATTCATATTTATAAGTATATGAATTGTCGGTGGAGAGGATCAATTGTCACATTTTTCCGAAATATCGGTACTATGGGTATTATTCGCATCATTGCTGGATATTTCTTGTCAGTGAAATTCAAACGAAATGACGAAGTTTAGCCTCTAGCTCCAATGAATTCGAGCATTCACGTCCATGATAAGGTACTCAAGGAGGGCAATAAAAAAGCATGATGTTGAAGTGGTACAAAATTCGCATGACGATAATGAAGGAGAAACTGAACGAGGCCAAAATTGTGTCATATCAAGCAGAGGAGGATGCTGATAGAATGACTGTTACCACAGCCACATAATTATCATCTGATCACAATACAGTGACTGTTATAGGGAAGGATGCTGATCTCATTGTACTATTGATAGGATAGTCAGCTCCAGCCTAAGTCTACTTATTCAAACCAGGGAGAGGGAGGTTTCATCAGCTGGTGAGAAATATGTAACTGCTTTGTACGTTGGAAACAAGCTAGGCACCTAGATGAGCCGTGGTATAAATGTTATATAGCTTATAAATACTCATAAAATATTACCACTCTTCCCCCAACTAGAGCTGTAGCAAACCAACCCATTTTCTGTGTGATTCTGTGCATGTGCAGCTATGAATGGGTTCCATGGGAAGAGCTGGAAAAGTTTGGCTGGAGGCAAACAAGCAACGGCATATAGCCCATTATTTTCAATCAACCCTTTGCACTTGACAATCTCATTCAAAGGCAATGTGAGGGTGTAAGAAGCTGGGCTATACTGTTCTAATAAACATGAAAATCTGTGAACCAATTGCACCTGTCATCATTCCGTCATATTTGAGCACTTCACCCTCTCCTTGACATTTTCTCTTACAAATAGTTCAGAGGTGAAGCGGCAACCACGGCCTTCTGGAATGCATGGCCCTTCGTTACCAAAGCACGTCTGAACAAGAACTTTTTGAACAAGTTTCTTGCGCCTATAATCATGTCAGAAATCCTTAATATTTTCTCGCTTTATCCAAAATCTTACATATGAAAGTTTTCAAGTTAGGAAAATGGTTCAGGTGAAATCTTACCAAAATCAAGTTTTTTAATTTTGTTAATTTTTTGCATCTTATGTGTCAATAATTCTATTCACTCGCCACGCTTTGTATAGGAATTGGAGCTGAAAAACAACTTAAATCGTAACGATTTTCCTTGTAGGATCAGTATTTTCCCCAGTATTTAGCTCAAAAGTTGACTCAAACTTGAATTATATCATTTCTTGGAAACATTGACCAATATTTGAAGTGCTGTATCTCGAGAACTATTGACCTCACAGTGCTGCGGTTATATTTATATTGTGGCAAATTCAATCACCTTTAAATAATGTTTGATTTATTTTTTCGCTACTACGCATAGTTTTGGCATTACAAGCGAAAAAACAAAAAAGTTCCAAAATTTCGTTGTTTTTGTGAATATCTCAAAACGCACCTGGTAATTCTGATTCAGTTCCCCAAAAAACATGGATTACGATAATAAAATCGACTAGTGGATGTTTTGCAACAAAACGGCGTATTCTGATACCGTTTGCCTGGGATATTAACGCATTATACACATAGATTACCTGAATGCCTGTAGGTATTTAACAATTTAACTAACTTTGTTGCACCTATCTAAACTAACATGTTGAGCAAAACGAACTTGCTATACCTACCTACCACCAAAAATTACATTTTATCTACTAGTACCTAAAACGTTTGGTGGCAGTTTAAATTTTTGTAATGATTCAAACTTAATGAATAACGGAAGTGTTAGAGGCTGATGTATTCTGACAGAAGCAGAAACACTAGATTATTTCAATATGGAATCGACTATGCAATTATTCTAAATTATTATGCAGCAAACAAAATCCGAAAATTCATACATTTGTGTGGATGACTGTATATATAACATATGTATACTAGGAGGATAAACTAAAAAAAGTATGAATAGGATCAATAAATGAACGAACTTTCTCTGAAACAATTTCTTGTATTCAAGGAGGTTATAAATACCCCTTGCTGCAATCAATGCTTTATTAACTATTTTTTGGTCCACATGGGTAGCGAGTAGCACCATATAATATTTATAAGTTTTTGAGGAATGAAAAAATCTTTCTAAACACATCACACAGCAACAAGGAAACATGTTTTATTCCTATTGAAACAATATTCAAACAATACCACAAACGAAAGGAATAGTGCCTACTTAATTTCATGTTGAAACAACTTTTTCTTGCATACTTGAGAACAAATTGAAACATTTTCAAATCAAGCAAAAAATGTGAATTACAACTTCATTGAGACTTATTCTCACTCTAACTCTAGTTTTCTCTTTTTCATGTGTCCTCCAGTTTGCTTGTGCTTCTGAAAATTCTCTAGAAGCTTATCAAAGAGCTCAGACTCATTTTCTCGAACCCCTTGTCCACTTAGACAACTGGAATCTGTAGATGATACACCAACAAACTGCACCTTTTTTGGAGAGATGGGACATGGTTTGGCACATGCAGTAGATTTCAGAATTCCTACTGGGGTGTCAGGTCTCTGAATATCTTCCTTATTGTTCTCAAGTAGTTTTTTCTTCAAATTTTCAATTTTTTTCAGTTTTTTCTCAATATCCTCTTCTGATTTGTATTGTTCTTCATGTGCTCTACTCAAACTAGTCTTAAGTGTGTCAAGTTCTGCTTTGGCATTTTCAAGTTTATCAGTTAGATATTCCTTGGAGGAAATGAGATAGGCTTTATTTTTTGTCAAATCATGTACATAGTTATCCTTGGATAACTCCTCTATTTTTGCTTGATACTTGTCAACTTTTGATTTCTCCAATTCAATATGTTCATCTAAAAACTGAATGTTAGCTTTAATTGGCTGTTCTGCCATTAATTTTTCTTCAAAAGAGCATTTCATAGCAATGAGTTGAGTTTTCTCCTCTAGCTTCTCTGTGTACTGTCTTATAATGAGATCCTGTTCCAGTTTCAAATTGTTATTTTCTTCTTTCAATGAAGAAATGTGGTTATTCAACATATCTAATGGCTTTTTTGCTGAATTCAACTCCTCTTCATATAATTCAGAATTCAAATTAATATTGCTCTGCCTATCTTTTAGTTCCTCAAAGAGTATGCCCATTTTATCCTCAACCCCACATAATTCCTGCATCTTAATTTCAAGTTCTTTCTCCTTGGATTCATTTATTCTGTGGTTTTCAAGCAATATTTCTTTAATATCATCAATATTGGTAGAAAGAAGGCAAAGTTTTGACTTCTTTTTTTCTAATTCATTGCTGATATCTATCAGGGGAGCCTCATCTTTCTTCAACTGCAATATATTTCTCTCCAGGTCTTCTTCATTAGCTTTTTTAACAGCTAATAACTCTTCTAATTGTCTTTGTTTAACTTTTAAGGAAGTGATTTGTTTCTCCAGCATTTCTTTATGTTTTTGCTGTTGGTCAAGTTGATCTAACTTCTCTCTTTGTTGAACAATTTGTTGCTTATAGAGAAGATTCTCATTTTGAAGAGCATTATTATCATTATTCAGTAGTCTATTTTTTTCCTCAATTTTCATTTTCAATTGATCAATCTTTGATCTTGAAGAAGATTGCAAATTATCAAACTTCTTCGTCTGGTCAGAAGCTTTCTTTGAATAATATGCATTTTTCAGGTTCAAATTATCATAACTGCTTTTCATTCCTCTTATGAATTCACTCAACTTTCCAACAATCACCTCATTATTAGCAACACGCTCCTGCATAGAAAATAATTCATCTTTTGATTGTTCAATTTTTTTATGGGAAAATTCATTTTCAATTTTTAGTTCTTCAGCCAACTTTTGCTGATCATTTATCAGCTGCAACAATTTCTTCTTTTGTTCCCCAAGGATGAGCAATGTAGTTTTCTCTGATTCTTGTGTCAAAATAATTTGTTTGCTCTCACACTGTACAACTGTTTCAGCTTCATGATACTTCAATTTCAGATTTGTTTCAGATATCAGCTCTTCAACTTCAACCAGCTCTGTGTGCTCAGCATCATTATTTTGTAGGACTGTGGCAACTGTGTGTTGGTCTTCAACTTCAATACTCTCATTTACATCATTGTTCAAATCCTCCATGTACTCCTTAGGTTCCATGTACTGATTATCACTAGAATACTCCATTATGGTTTTAATTAGTTCAAATATTGTTCAAAAATCTATTTGATTTTAATATTTTCTTCAAACTTGAGCAGAACAAATGACTATCAAATGATTCAAATGTTTTGGAGATACCAGGTAAGTTGATTGCTGAGATCCAAAGCCATGCCGCCACCAAAACTTCTCGTAAAAATCGGTAACTCCAATAAGACATAGGTACACCATTTCCGAGACCATTTCTCATTATACAGTATTATACAGTAAAGGATAGATACATTTTGCGAATTTTAGGATGAATTATTCTTACCTGTTTTACCTTCAACTATCTAGCTTTCTTTGGAATTTGGATTGAATGTTTTGAATTTGAATGGTCACTGGTGAGATCACTGGCTTGGTTTGTGGATCCTTGTCTGTACCAGCTTTGGGAAAGGGTCTCTGTGAGGTAAAGTGAGGTTTCTGACGTCTTCATAATCAACGTTTCATTTTTCATTACATGAATGATATTATTATTGTCAATTTTCTTTTCGTTTTTTCCATGTCGTTCCGCAGTACCGCACTATCCACTATACAGAAACGTTCAAACTGATTTAAAAATGTAAACTTTCCCGCCAGTGTGGACCCTAGTCATGTGTGGATAAAGTCATGTTCATTTGAATATTTTCGGATGATGGATCTGAAATCTGACAAGTGACATACGTGAATCGTGTGACAATCACTGACATCACTGATCAATCACTGTCAACTGTGACAATTTGTATTGTTAAATTTGAAAGTTGTTAGTTGTTAAAAATGTTAATAAACAAACAACAATTTTGGAAATGAAGTAGAAGTAATGTTTTGAAAGTCTATTCGCTAATTGAAACATGTAAATAGGTAATCAACCATGAATTGTATAATCCCTGGTTTAAATTTGAAAGGTAAAATTGTTATATTATACATAAATAGTTATTTCACATAATGGTTTTATCACACTTTTTACAGTTTTTGCTAGGGCTTTACAAGCTTTAGCAAAAGTGGGTGATGATTTATACATAGAATCATCTCAAGAAAAACTCAGTCTAGTTGCATTAAATGGGAGAAAAACAGTTTGTGTTAGATGTCATTTGTTGGATAACTTCTTTTCAAGCTATGAAGTTGATAATGATCAGTTGAGTCAACAGACACAAACTCTTTTCTGTAAAATGCATCTGAAAACTTTGTTACCACTGTTCAAAGGACAACATCTTGAGAAAAAGGTAAGCAATCAGCTATGTACAGTGTAAAATCAACAGATATTTGAACTAGTTTCATAAATTTTGGCAAATTCAATGTTCTACCCCCCTCAATTCTACTCTAGGTTATACCCGAGGTTGAGCTGATGTAATATCCATCTTTGTTAAATCATTATAAGCTGACTTGTTAAATTAATTATACTGGAGTTGATGCAGTCAATCCACTAACATCTCTAGGGTTTTTGATAGGAGTTGGCTACAAATTTTCATTTACTAAACTGAAACTTTTTGGGTTTCATTGTTGATTAGATACCTACTTGGATCAATAATTTTCTCTATGAATCTGATGGTAACAGTAATTGTCAATTTCATCCCTATTGAAATAGTATTATTTATTGTGTTTCACAAACTGCCTGGCAAACCACAAGTACTCACTTCTACTGCATTTCTCTTCATAAAGTAATGTTTGACTGGTGGTTGAATAATCAAATACTGAGTCAAATACAAAAATAAAGTCATCAAATACCACAATAATATTTATAGTTGTTTATTATACAAGGGAAAAAAGTATTAGATTTTAGCTCCAGGTTGAGTTGTCTCCTGACACCTAGCAGAGGAGACAAAAAACCGTGAGCTGAAATCAAATATTTTTCCTTTGTATAATGCACTATTTTTTTCTGTGAATTGAAAAAGGACAAATCATTATAACATAACCAGGAAGTTGAATGGAAGATTAAAGGAGTTGCAGTTCTTTCTCAGAGATGGTGTTATTGGCTTATTTTTCAGGAAAGTACTCACTTTTTTATTGTGGGAAAACAGTATTTTATGAAAAGTGACATTATATAACCTGTCAGCAGAGATGGAATTTTAAACTTTTTTACCTTCACAGAAAAAAAACATATATACAGTGTCTTTCAGAAAGTTGTCATCACATGGGATAAACTTTTAATGATGATTTATTTTGAAATTCAACTCAAGATGTTGAGTTTTGCTTTAAAAAAGTTGAAAATGACCTACTCAGTATTTCTCTACATGTGTTATATGATTTTAATTTAATGGCTGAGGCTAAACGCTGAACACAGGATTATTTCTTTGAATTCCGAAAATATTTACTTGAAAATGATGTTTCAATTCCGATTTTACACATGTGTCTCAAATTTGCAACTTTTAGTTTTTGATATTTTTCAATTTCTATGAAATTTCTATCTATTGAAAAAATTGTAACCAACAACCAAAGTGTCAAACTTCCATTAGATGCTTAAAGTAGTTTGATGATATTTTGATTGATGACTTTGACATCAATTTAGTACTGAAAAAATTCATTCAAAGAAATTTCGCTCCTGAATGCTTCACCTCATTGAGTATAGCAAAAGAAGGGGGCAGACTAGATCTTTTATGTCGCAGTCTATGTATATTAATACAAAAGCTTGAAGATAAATCACCTCTGCATCAAATATATTATATTTCTCATCTCAATATACAACTTTTTTGTAATTATTGTAATTTACTTGGTCATAGGATGTACCTCAATAGGATGTTTCATTCTCTGGGCATGTAAATAAATGGAAATAAAAAACATATCATTAATTTGAAGCCGGATTATTATTTTCTTAAGAAAATCATATATTGCGGATAATTAGTCACTGAAAGTTAGTAGCATGATAAAGCTTCCGGTATGAAACAGTTTTGTCAAAGTTACAACTTTTTCGATATCACAGAAATTTTATAGGTAGTAACAGTTGCAATAGAAAAGAACGTTCAAATTTGAGACACATGGACACATGTGTAAAATCGGAATAGTAACAACTTTCATTAGTAAACGTTTTTGAAACTCAAACTCGAATTCAAACAGGCTTGTCATTTTGAAACGGCTTGACCAATTTGCACAAACAAAGCGGAGTTGGATAGAGAATCGAAAGGCCTTCAAAACAAGGTACCACGTGACTCCTCTTCATATTTGAACAAAAAAGTTGATGGTGCCCACTTGACACTAGGTCACGTGACCACAACCATTTTTATTCCGAGTAAAAGGGGCACCTTTTTGCCTGAATTTTACCCGACCTCACTAGCTTGTTCCATTCAAAGGTTAAAGGGGGGGGAGGATATTTTTTTGTCATCACTGTATATAATTTACTAGCGAGTAGCGACCCGGAAATCTCATGCAAATGAGGGCTAACATTTACAGTTTTATCAGATGGCGCTACTAAAACGTGAGGCAATGTCAAAAACCTTGTCGGATAGCCCTAAAGGCTGTGGTCTGTTTTATAGAAAATATTCGGCAAAAATTATGTAGAATATTTAAACAAATAGAAAACCTCAAGTTATGGAAAGACAGACTTCTGTTTCTTTTATTCTCAATGTGGAACTTCACACTAGCGTCTAGCGCAAGGAGGTATTCCCATAAACAACGTAGTGGGAGAACCGCGCCAAGCGAGACGCGGACGCGGGCAAACATCAACTGTGCCCATCACCTATAGCGACGCGCGGCTGACAAGTGACAACACATGTTATTTAAAGTCTAATAACACAAAACTAACACTTTGAATACTGATATGAGGATTTGGAGATTGAGGCCATAAAATGAGAAAATAAAATTGGGATACCTATACCTATTATAGGTATTCATAAAATACAATATTATTCTTAAAGCATTTAAGTTTACATCATGAATAAAGAAACTGAATATCTGAATACATTTTTTCTTTTATTAATTACTAATAATAAGACAAGTGATAATGGCAAATAAGTTGATATATTGTCATTTGTGGTATCGTAATGGTATAACCCATAATCAGTGATAGAATAATGTACAGAATGTATTATTCCATTCGAAAATCCAAAATTGGTAGATGGTCAGAATGACGTGGTCATCGCAGAGAGTATCTGGAGAAAATGTGAAGTTTTATATATATATATATATATATTTATATATACCTCATACATATCTCCGAAAACGGTAAAAAAATATACAGAATAGCTACATGTACATATATTATGTATATTTGAAAGATAGAAACACGAAAATATAATCGAAAATAGTTGCAAAATATACAAGGTGTTCGATTCACCGACGTATATCTGGAAGGAGGCGGTGGATAATGTGATTTTGAACATATTCAAATATGCAGAATCATTCACCTAACAAATTATGAGATGTTTATAGAGAACTGAAAGAGGTTTTTTCAATAGGACACCCCTGTACATTATTGCATTTTTAGATTCTCCCTAAAGAGCTGATTTCATCGATACATTACACTTATTGGGGACCTTGGGGTCTAGCGGACATGATTATATACAGATAAATAGGGTGTTCAAAATCGGGATTTTTCAACTTTGTTTTTTTTTGTCGAAACTATTTATTATTGGTCAAAACGGCTTACATGTCCCTTTTCTCAAGTTTTGAATTAATACCTACCGACAGTTAACTGAAACAAATACAGGGTGTTCAAGATTCAGAATTCTGATCACCCTGTATTTGTTCCAATTATTAAATGTCAGTAGATAGTAAAAATCATAAGTTAACAAAGGAACATGAAAGCCGTTTTGACCGATAAGTAATAGTTTCGACAGAAAAACATCCTACTTAAATTTGAAATATCTCGATTTTTGAACACCCTATATCTCTGTAATCATTCCCGCTAGACCCCAAGTGTGATACATTGATGAAATCAGCTATTCAGGGATTATCTGAAAATGCAATGAAATACAGGGTGTTCCTTTTAAAAAAATCAACTTGTACTCTGTCGATCGTTTGTTCCGAGCACCCTGTATTTTCTGATATAGCGGAAAAAAACTTAATCAAATGATTCTTCAAATTTTGCGATCGGTTCAAAAATAACCGAGCTAGAGGGGGGGACATTTATGGTGAATCACCCTGTACATGGAATATAATGTTAATTCATTTGATTTTGATACCTACCAATCTATCTATAGAGATAGTCTGCTAGATCTTGTGAAAACTATCCGAACATACCTACCTAACGAATGAACGTGTTACAATAAGCACCTATATACCCGATTCACCCTGTATTCATATTTCTAATATTATTCCGTGTCCACTTACCTCATCCAAGATGTTACTAAAAGGAATTTTCTGGGCAATTTTAGCAGCTAAAGCTTGACGTTGCTTCTCGTTTATGGTTAAGTGGCATAGTTCATTCTTATGTCCAACATGCGTTTTCACGTAAACAATGTTGCATGTACCAGTAATGATATCCCTAGCCACTTTAATAGAAGCAGGACAATTTGAATTTATTTTGTTGCTGCCCTGTATTTCAACTTGCCTCTTTCCAGTGCTCTTTGAGTGAAAATATCCAGAGCGATGACAATAAGAATATTGAATCTCCAATTTGGACGATCTTTTCGTTCCAGAATTCTTAACGAAACGAGTTTTATCGTTCTGTTCTATGTCACTTTTCCATTCGATGAATTGTTCATAAGATGGAATTTCAAGATTTTCCTTGACCAAAGTCAAGTCATGCGAATTCTTCAAATGATTTTCGAATTGATCATTGATAATTTTTTCATTGCATAATGGGCAATCAGATGATTTCACCGCACTAGGTAAATTGCAACATTTTTTTTATGGGCCGTAAAATTTTTCTCAATATTGAACTTAAACCTGCATTTATCACAAATAAACTTGTACACTTTCCCACTTATTTTTGATGGGGCTATATCTTAGTTGGATGAGACTTCAAACAATGCCTTCTGAGACTTTGAAAACAGCTGAACGTGTTTGTACATTCTGCACAACAGTTTGATAATTGAAGACCTTGGTGCAAGAACCGGGCAAGTCCAATGGGCTTATATCACAAAAAAAATGTATTTCTTAATTCGATAGAACTCGCCCAAACTAGCTCAGCACCGCAAACCGTTTCTTGCTGTGAGCTCCCTACGTTTTATTAAAAATTATTGAAATCCCCGATTTTTCGGACCTCTGAAAACGAAGAGATGATGTGACGTCAAAACCCAAATACTGAAACAAGACTATTTCAAACAGAGATGAATGATAGATAATTTCT